TGAAGAGACTGTCAGCAGAAATATGCACATTAGAATTAGAGACAATTCTGGTGAGAGCTCAGAAGGAAATGATGAACATGTCATTGGAAATGGAGGAAAGACGATCCATGTTATACAGTGACAGAAAACTTGGCTGAATTGTATTCTACAGTTATGTGGAAACCAGAACTTGTAAGCAATGAACTTGAATATTTAGTTAAGATTTCCAAGGAAAGTGTTAAAAATGTGGCCTGGTCTCTCCTTGCTGTTTAAAGTAAAATGCAAGAGGAAAGAGATAAATTAAGGAAGGAACTGTTAAGCAAAAAGAAACTAGCATTTGAAGATTTGGGAGGTTCTTGACCTACCCAGATTGCAAAGGATGCTAAAATTAGGAAATCTGGGGGTGGGAAAACATGCTCTGGAGAGAGGGCCAAGAGTGTAGCTGGATAACCTTTTGCTGAAAAGATTAGGTATGTGATTCATGGATCCACTCAACCATCTCAGCAGAACCCAGGAATCAAGGGGTGGAAATGGTAGTAGGCCCTCTCAGCCCTAGCGATCCACTAGCAAAATTTTTGCTTCCTGTGTCTACAACTTTAGCTCCACTACTATAGAGGTCTTAATTCTGAAGGGAGGAATGCTTCCACCAGGAAACACAACAGTGATTCTATTGATCTGGAAGTTAAGATTGCCACCCAGCCACTTTGGGCTCCTCATGCCTCTGAATCAACAGGCAAGGAAGGAAGTTATTGTGCTGGCTGGGGTGATTGATCCTGACTACCAAGGGGAAATTAGGCTGCTACATAAATGAAGGTAAGAAAGATTGTGTCTAGAATACTTGAGATCCCTTAGTGTCTCTCATGTCCTCTGATAAAAGTCTATGGAAAACTACAATCACCCAACGCAGGAAGGATTGCTAACAGTCCAGACTCTTCAGGAATGAAGGTTTGGGTTACCCTACCAGGCAAAGAATCACAACAAGCTGAAGTGCTTGCTTAAGGCAAAGGAAATATGAAATGGTGATGAAAGAAGGTAACCAGTTGCAGAAACAGGGACTGTAATTGTTATGAATATTTCTTCCTTATTTTTATATGAATGTGAGATATATATTTTTTCTTGTTTTTTCCCCTCTCTTATCCCTTATCTTATTTCCTTGTCATCTAACATACAATGTATTAATAATAGTTAACTTGACATCACAATATTTAAGTTATAGGATATCAGAGAGAAGAGTAAATATCACCCAAAGACCTTGCATCCTCTTCCGGGGAAAGGGTTAGCATGTTTTTGGTTGTACACAGGATAGTTATATCATGTTAAGTGGAAGTGTGACTTTATTATTGTCTTTATTTGGAGCTTAAGTATGGTTTAAGGAGATGTGTATGGTGCCAAGACGACAAGGGTGGGCTATGATGGTTAGTTTTATGTGTTAACGTAGCTAGGCTATAGTATCCAGTTATTCAATCAAACACCAACCTACGTGTTGCTGTGAGGATATTTTATAGATATGGTTAACATCTATAATCTATTGACTTTAAGTAAATGAAATTTTCCTCAGTAATCTGGGTGGATCTCATCCAATCAGTTGAAAGGCCTTAAGAACAAAACTGAGCTTTCCCTGAGGAAGAAGAAATTCCACCCATGGATGGCAACACCACTTCTTGCCCAAGGGTTTCCAGCCTGCCAACCAATCCTACAAATTTCAGAGCTGCCTAGCCAGCCCCCAAAATCACTTAAGCCCATTCCTTGTATGTATCCTACTGAACCCTGACTGATACAATTAATATTAGATAAAGTAGACTTTAAGGCAAGAAGAATGATTGAAGATAAAGAGCAATATTTCAACAGGATAAAACTGTCAATTAACCAGGAAAATGTTACCATTTTCAACATATAAATATACATCTCTTTGAGCAGGAAGAAGCCATGCTGAAAACATGCTTCATGTAATAGCATTGAACATCTCCCATTCCCTGGCAATAGTCATTTGGGACATCACTGCTTGTAACTTCAGAGCCAATATTGTGAGGGAAGCAATAACACTCTCTACAACAAGCAAATATACTCTGTACAACAACAACAAAACTACATAGAATAGACACATGTCTGTTTTTGTCTCTAACTGCAGAGCAGGCTGTTCTAAGGGAAGCCTTTTTTCATTGTAACTGTGCTTGCTATTTGATGAAGGAAAGAAGAGCGCTTTCTGGAGTTGGTCATATTCATGTCTGACCAACCACTATTTGTCATTCTGCTTGGGATAAACCAGACTCTAGCCTTCTCTCATAGCAGGAAGTTCTACAGAAACCTAAGAGTTACCATTTCATCAACACAGGTGACCTCAGAAGACATGGAATGTGGCTGCTGAACCAATGGATGTAAAGCCAGATTCCAAGTTCATGTTCTTAATCTGAGCAATATGAACATTCTTCCCCCACACCCAGATGAGCACCCACTGGCCAGCTGCCAGGTTCAATCTGGGCAGACGATGGCAGCCTCCAATGAATAGTACAGCAGGGCTGACAATGACGCACTTCAGAGGGGAAGCCATGCCTCCATCTGTTCCTCCAACTTCAGAACACAGGGATACCTCCTTGCGTGCCTCAGCCTCTCACATTTCACACCACCCCATCATTGGCCTCTGTCAATGAGTTCTGTTCCCCCTCCCCACCTTGTGACTCCTGGAGTCCACAAGCTTTTCCAGAGCAGAGAGACCAGGAATCACAATTGTTCCTTTGGTGGACTTTCTACTGGCATTTTTGCCTGCAGTAAGTCACATGACTAACCATCACAGAGGCCAGAATGACAGATCTAAATGAATAAGTCTAGCCCAGCCAGATCTGGGTCACTTTTGGGGATTCTATGTCTCTTCTTGTCCCCTAAGTCAGAGTACATAGGCCCAGCATGATGAGTATCCCATTCATTATGATACTTTCTGATTGAAAGAGCAAAGTTAGGAGCATTTTCCACTAAGAATGTTACACCATATTCTAAATCACCATTCTGAGTCAAGGCATATCATTGGGCTCCCAGGAACCTTGACTCCCAGGATTCCGACTTAACCATGCTAAAATGGCAAGCTGTTTCAAAGCAATTCCAATCTCAACAAGGATATTCTCTTTACATTCAGGGGTTCAGTACTCTCTGTCTCTCTCTCTCAATCTGTTTGTGTGTGTGTGTACACGCCGTGAGTATGTGTGTGTATGAGAACCCAACTCCTCTGAGCCCTCATTTCAAGAATGAGGTAGACATATCTGCCCCTTCCTGTTTGGTCAGTGCCAACCAGAGTCCTGTTACAGAGGGCTCTGTATTAAATACCATACTACTCACCACTCACTTCATTCAACTGCATGAATGCCAGCTCTTTGTCATGTAGACAAATCATCCAATCACTCAGAGATTTCTTCATGGTACCAGTCTTGGGGAAACCCTATTATTATTTCCATGAATTGTCACATTTTTACCTGTACCTGACTTTCTCCAAAAGTCCTCCACCTGGTACATTGTATGATGATAAAATCCAAGGGATTGGGCTGCACCAGCTACCACAATGATATCTGGATTTGGTGGGCCCTTTTTCTTTAAAACTCAAAAAGTAGAGAAGCTGAGAGACCTAACAATGGGCAGCCTTGTCTCTCAGCCTCATTTTTTTATAGCGACACAGCCAAATTATCTGCCCATCCAGGTGTGCATCTGTGACCTCCAGACATTTTGACTACCCAGTGACTAGCCATCTGGGACCAAATGAACTGCCCATCCAGCAGTGTTTCTGGGACCTATAGACATTCTTGCCATACAATCATAAGGGCACAGGTTCACAGGGTCTGCTAGTTGAGGGGCATTTGTGGCCCACAGAAAATGCTGCCATTCAATCATGAGCACCGGTGATTTGTCCCCAATCCCAGAGAGGATGCGTCCCCCCCAACCCTTGGAGTGAAACAGCTCAACTTTTCTGCCATGTTCACTCCACATTAGGCACCACTGTCAAGCAAATGGCTCAATCAAACACCAGCAAGTATCATTGAGGCGGGAAGGGTCACAGACACACAGGTTAACAAAAAGTGCAGGTCTCTCATTCTCTCGTTATCCTGCAGAGAGATGTGCTTGGCCAGGTGCAGTTGGATGCACCAGGAGAGGGACCCCACACCCTGCTGACCTTCCTTTTCACAGCATGAGCATGAAAATGCCACTATAAGCGGAGGACAAATATTTGAGCGTGGGCGCCAGTTGTTCAGGGGAATGCTGAAAATGACAACTGCCCAGCAACCTTGTGGGGAGTTTAGATCATGAACAGCCCCTCACCCTATTTGGGGGATCAGGAAGTCACATGTCCCACCCAGCCCATTGTCAGGCAACCTAGAGGAAGCCTCTTATTATCCAGCAAATAATCCTTCCTGTCTCTCTACATGTTCTTTGGAAAGAGTTCTGTGGTGAAATACATTTGGAAAACAATGTATTCTACAGACTGTCTGGGAGGCCTACACAGTAAATTAGTATTCTAGTGGTTCCAGAAGTCCTGCCATAAAAAAATTTCTGAACAATGTCTCCCAAATTTTTATGATCATAGAATCCTTTACTCACATCATGCTTGTTAATAAGCCAGAGAACCAGCGTTTCATGGAACACAGTCTGTGAAATGCTGACCTAGGGCAGGCATGGCAAATAGATTTCAACATAATTGCCAACTCTGATTGGTAGAGGTAGTCTAGAACATACTGTTGAGAAGGATTCTAAGAGCCTGTCTGACCTCAGCCAGAAAGAGTACAATTATTGACAAACGAGAGCTGCTGTGTGTGTGGAAGAATATAATGGCAGCACAAGGGCGGCAGGTTTGCCAGTCTTGATCTAAGTCCTTTAGCTTCATTTTCCCTGACGAAAGATTCCTCTAGGTCAGAATCAGTGACAAGAATTCTTCCAGCAGGAACCCAACGTGGGAAATGAGTCTTGATTCATGATAGTTTGCTCGGCTTCACTGAGTGTTCAGAGTGGACCGGTCCCTCAGGAGGGTGAGGTTCTTTCTACTGATGGGAACGCTCTCAGAGGGGCCATACAAAACAAACCCTGGAATCCGCCTCCAAGCTCAGTACGCAGGGGACGACATTCCATACTCCAATGCCCCCATGAGTACAGCCTTGGCCTCTGAGGCCAGGGGCACTTGGACAGAACCTAAGAAGTTCTCCCAACTCATCTGAAGCCTCTTTGGCCCCATCACCTATGACTGTTTTGGGCTCCTCCACTGTGAGGCTGCTCAGGGCTTCGGAGCCCAGTACTCTGTACTGGGGGATTTGCTGTCTGAGACTTTGGTCTGTGAGTGCATGTATATGCACATCTACAAGTACATACACATAGAAGCGTGTACAAAGACAGCGGGAAGAATAAATTAGGGCTTATTTGATATCCAGGGGGTCTAGGGCCTGGAAAAGAAGAGAATTCCATAACACAAACCACTGTTACTTGCCTCAGCAGCTGATGTCTCAGATTGCAGAGGGACACTGGGGACTTCTGTAGGTCTGAACTTTGCTCCAGAAAGAGGAAAAGGGAGACAAATCTTTCAACTTTAATGGGATTTTCAATGATGCACCAGGTCTTGTCTGTTGACACTCCACAACATTCCCATTCCCATCCTCTCCGCTGTAATGCAGAGGCTGGGAGCACTGAGACTTTAGTTCTCAGACTCCCCTGTCAGCGTGATCTCTCTGTACGAAATTGGGAAGGAAGAAGGGAGGTAGAAGCCACACTTTCCCTCTAGCAGAGAGAGTGGACAAGTCCTCAAAGGCACTACAGGCCTTTATAGCAGGCCATGTTGCCACTGGCTGGCATCATCAGAGAGAACGGCTCTCTGCTACTTGACGCTCTGTTTGCAAAAGAGCAAAAACCAGATTCTCCCAGGACCCCAGGGTCCCAGAAACTGGAGATCTTCGATTCATTTCAGGAGAACAGGCGTCAAGGGGGTTTCTTTCTCATATGTGCAGGGCGCTGACCCTCCAGCTCACCTCCCAGGACAATTCCCCGAGGGAGCCTGACCCCTGCCCTTTGACCCCTGCGCCTGAGACCAGAACCCGGGTGGGATGGGGAGGCCCCGCCCCAAAATGGCCGCGCCCAAGTGCGGCTGTTGCCGGCAGCACGGCCACCGGCGTTTTCTCAATCTGGGGATCTAAAAGAAGCGGAAAGTGTGGCCTGGGGGACGGAGGGGCGCGCAGGACGACCGGGGAGAGGGCGCTCCGGCCTCGGAGGCGGCGGGGAGCAGGACCCTGCGACCGGCCGCGAGGAGCCCACTCGCCTTTCGGCGCCCTCAGACTTTCGTGCGACTCGTCCCGGAAAACGGTCGCACGTTCCTGGCGTTCTCATCTCGCCTCAAAGGGAAGCACGTCAGAATCATCGTGCCGGCCAGGCGCCATGTTCGCCATTGGCAGCGGCGGCCTCGACTCCCATCCCCGCCCCCACCTAACGGCTGCTGCGCCTGCGCCGCGCCCCGACCTCGGGCCCCCCGGGTGCCGGGGAGCGGAAGTGCTCTGCTGACCCCGAGGGCGGCGCGAGTTCACGCTGCCTGTTGTTATCCGCCCAGGGACGTCGGACTGCTGGTGTCGCTGTGAGGGAGGCGGGGTTGGCGATACGCGCGATGCGGGGGTCGGAGGGGCCAGGGGTAACGGGCTCGCGCCCCCGAGGGTGGAGTGGCAGGACCGTGGAGGTCAGCGAGTGATTCATTGATTCATTCATTGATTCATGCAGCGAGTGCTCACTGAGTGCCTAGTAAATACGAGGCCCCGTTGGGTTGCACCCTAATGTCCACAGTAGCCCTGTGAGGGAGGTGCTACGCGTCTCTTCATTTTAGAGAGAGAAAGCAAGAGGGGAAAGGCTCGGAACCTGTCCAAAGGCGCACAGCTAGGAAAGCGGGGCATCCTTTTTCTTTGTGCTTTTTTCCTCCTGGCACTGATCCCTTTCGAACGCACCCTGTGATTTCTTTATCATGTTTGTTACTGACTGTCTCCCCAGCTAGAATCTTGCTCCGCAAGATCGGGGAGCTCCTACACTTTGTTCACTGAGGTCTCTGCAACACGTAGAGCAGTGGGACAGGCACACAGTAGGCGCTCACCTCTTTATCGAGTGAATAAAGGCCCAGAGGAGGCAGGCAGTTGGTTCCAGAGCCCGGGCTCTGAGGAAGTCAGACAGTGCCTAGCTCCTCGTCTGGCGATAGTTGAGCTCTCGATAAATGTTAACTCCTAAAATGAGGACGAGGCACTGCGCCTCCTCGTGTCCAGGAAAACATTTGGGTTTTCCTCCACTTCCCTGCATCATCGGGGTTGCTGATTGCATCTCCTGTGTGGTCATTGTCTTTCCAGGGTCGGGCTGCGTAGCTGAGACCAGTGCTCGCCTTCACGCTCCAGCTTATGTGCCCTGGGCTCCGATTGTCAGTCTCCGGAAGAGCAGTTGTGAGGCCTCAGGAGGAGGTGAGTTCCCCGGCCCGAGGGAGACCTCTGGTGCTGAAGTGAGGGTCCCAGCTGAGACGCCCTTGGCTCTGAATGCTTTGGTCCTGGCTCCTGAGGAGCAAGAGAGCTCCTCTGAGGGGAGTTGGAGGAGAAGCCTCAGCCCAGAGCCCAGACGCAGAGGCTCAGGGCAGAGGCAGGAGGCTCACAGGAACGAGGTGGTAGAAGAGCTGGCCGTGCAGTGGCCTCTGTCCCTCCGGCCAGCAGACAGAGAGCAAGGCGGCCATGCTGGCTCAACTTCCAGCACCATCAAGGGTGGTGTGATGGTGAGCGGTCGGACCCCTGTTGCAGGAGACAGAGCTGAAGGGCGCAGCTGGATGGAGGGACGCTGCCCTGAGGGCAGGTGCCCTGCTGTAGTGCCTGCAAGGGGGGGGGCGGGATGAGGCGGGGAAGGATCGCTGCCAGCCTCACAGGACTTCTGTCCTGACACTGCTGTGCCCACACCATCCTGCTGCCCTCTTTTGCCCTTGCCCGTTTCTGCATTTGAGTCAGTCCTGTACTAGGAACATCTCACCCTCCTCTAGCGGAAATGTTGACTCTCCCTCCATCTTGACTAAAGTGCAGAAAAGGTTCTGTAAGTTTACTTTCTGTTTTTCTTTTGGTTTGTGCAATTTCAGAGTAGTCTGCAGGCATGTGATCATCCAGGTCTGCCGCCTCATTTTGATGCCAGTGTAACTGGGCCTGAGAACGTGACTTGTAAAGCTACGAGGCGCTGAATGCCTTTGTCTTGATGCTGCTGCAGGGGTTGCTCCAGTGGCCGCGGTTACTCTGCCCAAAAGCTCTTTAGTGACACTTTCCTTTCAAACTTCCAAGCAGGGAGGAGCAGGACAGTCAAATGGAAATCATGGGAAAGGAGGAAGTGCGGGGGTGGGAACAGGGTGGTGGTGGGCCTGCAAGGGGCAGAGGGGGCAGGGGGCAAGGTCAGTGGTTTCCAGCTCCCTGTGGAACTGACCAGTGCTGGCTCTTCACCTCCTCCTCCGCCCTCTCCTCCCCCCAGGGCTCTCAGCCCTGTTTTCTCTCTCTCCTGCAAACCACAGCAAGGTGTCCCTGTCCTCCACACTTTGTCCAGGGTCCTACACCTCTAGGGCTCAGCGTGAGCATAGGTGATTTGTAATCATTTTTAATATTCATTTTACTAGTAATTAGTATTCACTGTCACAAATGAGAAAATGCAGGTACCCAGCAGAGGACAGGTGAAATCACCACTCAGAGGTAAGCAGTGTCTGCAGTGAAACAGATGCTCTTCTAGACTCTCTTCCTCAGTTCGGACACACTGCTGAACAAGTGGCATCGTGCTGCACTTGCTTTTTTGGAACCTGCTTTTAAACATGTTGAGAAATGCAAACAAGATTCCATAGCATTTTTAAAGCCCACGAGGTGTCCCGTTGTGTGTGTCTTATTTTTTAACTGAGTCCCCTCTGCTGGAGGTTGAGTTGCTTCCAAGTTTCTGGATGCTGCAAACAAGTTAATATCCTTGCGGCTTTGTGCTCATTTGTGATGATTGCTTACTTAGGGTGCATTTCCAGGAATAGAATTCTTGAGAGAAAGGAGGTGTCAGGTTGTTAATGGCTTCTGGGTAGATGTCTTTAAACACAAGCCATACATCCGTCCAGGAAGAGAAAAAAGATTCTGTGTGCAAAAGCCACATGATCTTAGCCATGTCCCACGGGGACAGGCTAGAGCTACGAGGCCGTGTTTGCAGGTCATTCTGACGGTTCAAGGAAGATTCTTACTGGGCTGGCGATGATGGTCTCAGGGCTGTGTGCACTGATCTCGACCCTCTAATCCTGCCTTTGTAGATCTCCATCCTTTGTCCGGGGCGGAACAGGATGGCCAACGCCCAGGTGAGTTCCTGATTACCCCTTCTTTGTCTCCAGTGAACTGGAGGCAGCTTTTGGGAATCTGTATTGTAACCTTGAAAAATCTGTGTCTTCTTTTCCATCTCAGAGAAGATTGTTTAAATACATACACTTAGCGTCCTTCCAGTTCACTTTCTTCTTTTTATTAGGTTTAAAATAAAGTAAATCCATGCTTAATGTTTTAATATGCATATAAAAATAGTAGCCCAAACATCCCCATTTCTTCTCCCGCACTCCCAAGTTCTTCCTCAGGGATGCCCACTGTTAACAGTTTGGTGACAGCGTTGTGAGCATGTACATCCGTTTAATAAGCCGAAAACAGACGCACATGTGAAGCTGTGTGCATTTTTGCACGAATGCCGTCATACTCCCCTACCCATCTTGCTGCTCCCGCACGTTTATCTTCTGGATGTTGTTCCTCGTCAGTATACAAAGATGATCAGTTCCTGTTGTGTGGTCTGGCTGTATCATTTAACCATTTCTCTATCCTTGGATATTTTTGATTTGAATGTTTTTAGTATTATAAACAGTGCCTCACGAGCAACTTTCTGTGTGTCTGTTTGCTCAGTACTACAAGTATTATGGAGGTTATACATGGAAATCGGATTTTTAACTAACAGGTGCTCAAACCTTAAATGTGTCCTTCCACATCCTTCAAAATTACTCCTCTTCCTGATTTTTAAAGACCAGATAATTTCTATGTTCCAATTTTCCAGGCTGTTGAGAGATGAGAAAGCACCCAATTAATTTTATAAAGCCACTTAACTTTAAATTTGATGGAGATACTACAAAAAGGAAAATTATAAACCAGTTTCACTTAAGAATATGGATGCCAAAATTGAAAAAATATCCTGAACAGAACATTAATGAATTGAACCAAGCATTTGTAAAGTAATGCATGCACAAGGTAAAACTTTCAAATGAGAGCTCTGCTCCACAGAGGGTGGAGAACAATTCTGTCCCCAGTCCGCCGTCTCCTCCTTTACTGGTGCATGCGTTCTTCCAGAGATCACGTGTGCGTGTCGTTCTGCCTAGACAGAGGAATCACTTTTCTTTTTCTCCCTCTCTTTTTTTATTTTTTACAAATTGGAGAACATTCTAGTCCTTAATGATGCTTCCAGTGCACTTGTACAGAGTCTGTCCCAGGGATTCTGAAGTGTGGCACTATTGCCGTTTTGGGCCAAATTATTCTTTGTTGTCTGGGACTGTCCTGTGCATTGCAGCATGTATGGCAGCGTCCCCTGGCCTCTATTGACTGGATGCTGGTCGTACTCCCTCCTCCGGTTTTGGCAACCAGTGTGTCTCCCCACATTGCCAAATGTCTCCTGGGGGACAAAATGACCCAAGGTTTAAACCAGCGGTCTACCCCGTTTACAAAAATGGCCACTCGATGTTCTACTGGATGGAAATACCATTTGTTATTTACCTTTCTCCTAGTGAGGTACATTCGGGCTATTTCTAGTCTTTGGCTACTGTAAGCAACGTAGCAGTGAATATCCGTGTACACTCCAGTTGTCTGCATGTGAGTACATCTTTCTAGAAGGGAGCTTTCTGGGTCCGTGACTACAAGAATCTTGAACTATGATTCAAGATCGTCAAATTGCCCCCCAGATAGTGTGTTCTGTGCACTCCTAGCCACCATAGGATGCCTTTTCCCATGAACAGGCAATCACAGTGATTCTCGCAAACATGGTGAGGAGAGAAAAGAGTGGTGCATTTTAATTTGCATTTTTGACTTGAGCGTCTTTTCATATTTTAAACACCATTTGTGCCTTTTCCTTTCAGATGTTTATTCGAGTCATTTGCTCGTTTTTTCTCTTGGGTGTGGAATTACTTTGATTGCTGATTGCCAGCTCTTTATGCTAACATAATAAGTAAATCAGACCTCTGTCATATATGTTGTAAATATTTTTTCATGATTTGTCATTTGTTTTGGCTTGGATTATATATCTTGGGGAATAGACACTTAAATATTTTAAACGTGGTCTAATTTCACAATCTTTAGTGGCTTCTAGATTTCATGTATTGCTTAAAACGTCTTCTGCAAGTCAAGATTATAAAAATGTCATTTTAATTATGTGGAAAAACAGTGGTTAATGAATGATGGTGGCACAGTTGTCTCTCCGTCTAGATGGAAACAAAGCTCGACTCTTCTGCATATAAAAGTAAAATTCCAGACTGATTAAAGAACTAAATTTTTATTCGAGAGATTAGAGGAAAGTTTCAGAGGCTATTTATATAACCTTGCTCAGTGCAAGAAATATTTTTAATGAAGATGCCAAACCCAGAAACCATGAAGAGCAAGGTTGTCAGATTAGATTGCATTAGGATGTTAAAATCTGTACGGTCAAAAGACGTTTGAGAAAATACATGTGGTACGTATGACACACAGAGGATTTATAGACAGACAATGCAACCGATGGTACAAAAAAGACCTAAACTGTGCTAGAAAAGCAGTCAGCCGATAGGACAGGCAATGTTTAAGAGAAAAGGGGGATGCCGTATGAAAAGATGGGTACCCTCCCTAGTTTTCAAGACCAGAAAACAGGGCTCGTGTTTGGTCCTCCTTTTCTGTGGCTTTCTGACAAATGAAACCAGTCTCAGCCCTTCTACTGTTTGCCTTCCAGGTGTGTGTGTGTTGTGTGTGTGTATACAAAAAACCCAAAACTTTGCATGGATTGCTTTTCATGAAAATGTACCCCTAATATACATATTCCGAAATTTGGCTTTTTTTCCTTTAACAAAAGTATACCAGACATCCTTTCCTGTCGGCCAGTTTTTATAATGGCTGTTCTAGAGTACAGCGAGTATAGCCGGAATGCTGCATGTAACCACTCTGTCATCCTCCCAGGCCAGAGGCAGTTTGTTTATAATCAGGGGTCATTTTTATCATAAGCAGTGTTGCCTGGTAATGTAGCTGTCATTCCACCATTACTGGATTCCCAGGAGCACAGGACATTCAGGGCCATCTCTCCCCTTCCTTTTTGCTGATACAAATCCTGCTGCCTTGAACATCTTTATGGGCTTATAAATGGTTCAGTAGCATAGAGTCCTGTAAATGCAACTACTGGTGAAAATAGGAGGAAAAAACTTAGTAGGACCTGCCAAATTACCTGTCAGCCAGCCTTCGATGAGAATACTCATGTTCCAGTACCCTCGTGAACAGTGGCTCTCTGTCTTGTGAATATTTACCAGTCTTACAGGTACAAGTCAACATCTTACTGTTTAATTAGCATGTATTTGAACTTTAGTGAGGTTTATCATCTCTTTCTATGTTTAGTAGCCACTTACATTTCTGTTGCTGTGGATTTTTGTCCATTCTATTGAGTTGTGTTTTCCTACTGACTTATTGGAAGCCTAGGGGGAAATCCAGAGAGGGCAGTGCCGTGTGATAGGGTATTTGCAGTGTGCATTTTGATGTGCTTTAACCAGTTGCTCCCCCACCCCCTGGAGGCAGTAAAGTTTATAACTTCTTTGGTGTTTTTCGCCACGCTTGACTGCACTGGGTCTTATCAACCTTCTTAATGTTTAAGAACCTGAAGGGTATAAATAAGTCCTGGCGATCTAATGCACAGCATAGTGATTACAGTCAACAGTGCTGTATTATAAACCTCAAAGTCCTAAGAGACGAGATCTTAATTGTCCTCACCACGAAAGAATAAATGATAATAATGTGACGTGGTGGAGGTGTTAGCTAACGCCACAGGGCCATCATCCTGCAGTATATAAATGTATCAAGTCGACATGCTGTACACCTTAAACTCATCCGATGTTGTAAGTCAGACGCATCTCCAGGAAAAAGAATCTGAAGGTTGATAAATGGTATCCTATTTGAAATTTACTTCACATTCCCTCAGGTACATGTATTAGCTTGTGGTCTTTTTCTTAATGATGTGTTAGAATTTTAGTGCATGAAGGAAATTAGATCATTGTTATGTATCTTACAAGTATTTTTACCACCTTGATATTAATGTTTGAGAATTTTTAAACTTTCTTTTTGCTACTTTAGAAATTCCTAATGTCTAGGTAGTCACGTTTATCAGTTTGGCTGTATGTCTTCTGAATTTGGGGATGGCTCAGAAAGACTTTCGCCACTCTAAAATTGTAGAAACGTTTAACTCATCTATTAGTTTTATGGTTATCTTGCACACATTTAAATCTCTAACTCATCTGTAATTTATTTTGGACTTTGGAGTGAGATAGCGAATCCAGTTTTATGGTGTGTCTTTTCCCCACAGAAATTCCTAGCCGGATTTTCCTAATGGCCTTTTCGGCCATGATTTGAGATCCTTTGATTATGAACTGAATTCTGACCCTGTATGTGTAGGATCTGTTAGTGGTTTTTAACTTTTGCCATCATTGAAGTATAAGACTGAGTTAGTGTTAATAAAACCCTTCTGCTCCTTAGGGAAATAAGACCTTGAGTTAACCTGGTTTTAGCCTTGTGTCACTGGAAACCTGATAATGTGGAATGAGGCTGTGTTACCAGGCGTTCTTACTTATGGTAAAAATGACTCCAGAGTGGCAAACTGCTTCTGAACTGGCAGCACTGTGAATAACTGTGCATAGCTAGTGGGAAGCCACACACTTGGGTTCCTGAGTTCTGTGTAACTTTTATAACTGGGCATGTCCTTTGCCAGGCCCCTGGAAGAGGTGCCCAGGGGCCTGTGACAAGAGATGCTGGTCTATGGAGCAGCTTTGGGCTTCTCAGCCAGATGTTCCCTGCACTCAGCAGTGTGGTCTTGTTCCCGCACCCCTCAGCTATCACATGGTGATGGGGCGTGGGTGGGGTAGTTTGGGCTAATACTGCTCATCAAGCCACGCTGTGGTGGCATCCCACATAAAATAGAGGAAGATTGGCAGAGATGTTAGCTCAGCAGACAATCTGCCTCAAGCAAAAAGGAAGATTGGCAATGGATGTTAGCTCAGGGCCAATCTACCTGCTCTCCCCTCTCCAAAAGAAGAATCTGTATTCTGCTGTTGTTGGATGCAGTGTTCTATGAATGTCACTTAGATGAAGTTGGTTGATAGTGTGTTCGGGCTTTCTATATCTTTACTGTTTTTCTGTGTACTTGTTCTATCAGTTATTGAGAAGAGTGTTGAGGTCTCTGACTATAAGTGTGCATTTGTCTATTTCTCTTTCAGACTTATCCATTTTTGTTTCATGTATTTTGAAGTGCTGTTATTAGGGACATATGCTTTTTGGACTCTTACATCTTCTTGAAGAATTGACTGCTTTATCATTTTGTAATGTCCCAGTTTGTCCTGGAAAATCTTTCTTGTTCTGAAGTCCTTGTCCAAAACTAATGTAGTTACTCCAGCTTTCTTTTGGTTTGTGTTTTCATGGTATTTCACCATCTCTTTACTTTTTTTTTATTAATAGATTTCATTATTTCTTTATTTATTTTTGAGGAAGATTAGCTCTGAGCTAACATCTGCTGCCAATCCTCTTCTTTTTCTTTTCCTGAGGAAGATTGGCCCTGAGCTAACATCCATGCCCATCTTCCTCTATTTTATATGTGGGACACCTGCCACAGCATGGCGTGATTAGTAGTACATAGGTCCGCGCCCAGGCCACCAAAGCAGAGCACGCAAACTTAACCACTGCACCACTGGGCCTAATAGACTGTTTTTTAGTATAGTTTTAGATTTACAGAATAATAGACAATCTGGTACAGAGAGTTTCTTTATACTCCTCTCCACCCCTCACAGTTTCCCCTATTATTAACATCTTGCATTAGTGTAGGTACATTTATTATAATTAATACATTATTATTAACTAAAGTCAGTAGTTTACGTTAAGGTTCACTCTTTGTATTGTACAGTTCTATGGGTTTTGACAAATGCATAAAAATCCCCCATTACCATATCATACAGAATAGTTTCATTGCCCTAAAAATCCTGTGCTTCACTTATTCATCCTGCCCCCCTCCCTCCTGGCAACCGCTGTCTTTTCACTGTCCGTGTAGTTTTACCTTTCCCAGAATGTCATATAGTTGGAATCATACAGTATGTACCCTTTTCAGACTAGCTTCTTTCAATTAGCAGTATGCATTTAGGGTTCCTCTGTGTCTTTTTGTAGCTTAAGAGCTCATTTCCTTTTATTGCTGAATAATTCCTTGTACAAATGTACTTTATCCATTCACCTATTGAAGGGCATCTAGGCTGCTTCCAGTTGTGGTACATTATGAAGAAAGTTGCTGTAAACATCCACATGCAGGTTTTTCTGTGGACATAAATTTCCAACTCATTTCCTTTTGAGGTTTGTAATTTTTTACTGTGAACTTCTTTTCAGTGAGAGTTCTTTTCCACGGAAATTCTGTGTACTCTGAGCTGTGAAAACATCACTCAACTGTTTGGATAGCCCCACTGCTGGGGCCCAGTGGTTCCACTGATGCAGGACCAATTGTTAGGTGAATTTCTCAACTACTAGGATTTGTATTATACTTCAGATGTCCATTTGGAATGCACATGATTTGGGATTTTCCAGTTATCTTCCTACATGTGGTACATGACTAGAGTTCTGATTTCTTGTAAGTAACTCCTGATTCTTCTTACTGTTTTCATTACCCAGTGGGTGACATCTTTCTAGTTCCTATTGTAAAAGCAGGAATGTCCTTTGTGACTTCCAGCTTTAAGCAGGTAGCTCAGTTCTAGTTCTCTGCCCATTTCTGCTCTGTGGCCTGGAATCCACTCCACACTCATGCATCAGAGCCTTAATCCCCTAACAGCAAAGCCACACAGCTTCAATTTCTATTCACTCCTCACTTTAAACCTCCTTTTCATTTTGTCACATAATGAATTTCCTTTGTCACATAATAAGTTTCTTCAGCTTGACTGTATTAAGTTATTTTTGTTAAATACGGGGCACCGTGTCTTTGTATTTGCACTCGGGTTAGGGGGCCTGGAGATAGTCCATCCACATCAGCTCAAGTCCTATTGATAGGGGTTCACAGCAGGGCATTTGTGAATTAATTTTGTCCCATAACATCATAGGAGAAATATTTACAAGGTTGATGATTCATTGCCTTTTTTCCCCTAGAATTCTGGCAAGTTGATGACCAGATACATAACCACAAGGAAAGCCAAGACAAGCCTCTGTGGCAAACTGCATTCATACACAAGGAAACAGTGAAGGATGAACATGGCCAAGAATTTAGAACATGCAGAAAAATCATTTATCCGAGCCCAGACTTTGTTTCTATAAGACAAAGACTCCCTAAATATTATTCATGGGGAAGGAGTTCAAAACATAATTTAAACTTTCTTAGTCAAAACAGAAGCTACGTAAGAAAGAAAGATGATGAATGTAAGGCCTATTGGAAATTATGCTTCCATTCTAATCTTGATAAAGCTCAGCCTGGAGAGACCTTCTTTGAGCCTAATCAACGTGGAAAAGCCCTCCACCATAAGCAAAGCCTTAATAAAAGTCGGAGAATTCAAACTGGGGAGAAACTCTATGAATGTTCTGAATGTGGAAAAGTGTTTATCCAGAAAGCTAACCTCGTTGTACATCAGAGAACTCACACAGGAGAGAAACCTTATGAATGCTGTGAATGTGCAAAAGCCTTCAGTCAGAAGTCAACCCTCATTGCACACCAGAGAACTCATACAGGGGAGAAGCCCTATGAATGCAGTGAATGCAGGAAAACCTTTATCCAGGAGTCAACTCTGATCAAACATCAGCAAACTCGTACAGGAGAGAAACCCTATGAATGCAGAGAATGTGGCAAAGCCTTCAGTGGGAAGACAGCTCTCGTTAAACATCAGAGAAGTCATTCAGGAGATCAAACCTAACAATAAACTTTCAAGTGGGATAACTTTATCCATAAATTATATATCGTTATACTATGCAGCAAAGAACTCATTGAGTAACCGTGTAAATCTAATGAACATCAGAAAGCACTCAGCCTTTATTAGATTTAAGAAAACTCAAAGTTATGATAAAGCGTACAATAAATGTGATAAATTCTTCACCCAGGAGTTTTAATACATTGTACATCAAAATTTATGAAGGGTCAAAACCATGAATATAGTGAAAGTTGGAAAGCCTTTGGAAAGAAGTTAAATGTCATTTTATATTAGAGCTCTTATGTTCAGGAGACACTATCAATTTAATGAGTTGGAGAACCCCAATTTCCTAGAAATTATATTGTGAGGAAAATGAAGTTCTAGATGTCGTCATACATTTTATAGAAAAGATCATAGAGGTTACAATCAAGCACTCAATTTTAAATTATATACATATTCACTCCAGAATAAAGTTTTGAAGTATAAATACATTGAATAATCAGGAGGAGAGAGGAAAAAACATATTAACCCTTGCTAGGCAAAACTCCCAGATTAATCTGTAAATAGATAGACCCTAAATAGATTAGTCTGAGAGAGGATGTGCCCGCAGGATCCTCACACAAAAGGAACCCAAGCAGGGGACCTGACACATGTGTTCTATCATTATAAATGTGCAAATGTCTTATGGAGAAAGATTGTATCCTTCTGGGATATTTCTTAGAACAGTGGTCACAATTTATTATATTCTGTTCATAAGAAGTAATTATATTATGGTGGGACAATAGGAGGTTAAGGATTTCCAGGAAATATCCTGTAAGAACAGTATTAATTGAAATAAAAATTAGAAGCATCTTGAATATCCAATGATAGATGATTGTAGATCTATCAATAGTTAAATTGCTATAATATGCTGCCATTAATTATGTATCCATTATTTTGTTTAAGGATTTGGAAAGTGTGGAAGATATAAACTGTACTTTATGATCTGTGTTGTAAAATGATATGTATAACAAGGATATGCACCATTATGATTTCAGTATCTCTGGATTGTGGGAATATAAGCAAATTTTTGATTAGTAAAAACATATGATGATTATGTTTATGTCTATTTTATGAATATATGTTTATCTTCATGTATAGAGAGACACAGAAAAAAAGCTAGGAAGAGAATACACCTTACTATTAATAGTGGTTATATTTGGACTTTGGGATTATTCATTTTTTAATTTCTCTGGTTATAGTCTCAAATTTCCAGGTACAACCAATAAGGATTATTTAAAATACCTTTCGCATACTTGACTGGTTTTTCTTTCTCCCCACTCATTTTTCTATTCAGCCTTATTTTCAGTATTGGCACTATTCTGCTACTTTCTATTCTGCACAGATCATCCCAGTTTGACAAATCTACACAGATTCTCTGTGTTTTCCATGTGGTCGTCTATCTGATACCACTGTTGAAAGAAACTATTGTACGTCTTTGAGAAGAGATGTCTTGTGATTTTAACTTGTATAGTGATTTTCTGACGAAAATTAAAACTTCATGCACGCTTTTACATTTCATCCTCACCAAATCCTGTAACCGAAGTTATAAGCTTCCAGATTTTACAGATGAGAAGCATAGCAGCAGGTGAGTCACGTCCCACAGGTAATAAACTCTCCTCAAACCTAAACCTTCAGAAACCAAATGCAAAGCACTTTTCAGTCTGATCCTTGGGATTGCTATTGAATGCTCATTTTCTCTTTTCCTCTTTTCTTCCTACTTCTTGTCACCAGTTCTCAAAATTCACTGTGGTTATATAGCTCCAGTTATATGTGCTTTACCTTTCTACTGCGTCCCAAATGCCTCTCACAGTCTGTGGTGTTTGCATTTTTCCCCCTCTCTGGGAAAGGTCTTTAGCAGAGTAAAACTGATGGGCAGCCAGGAGGGCTGCTGTTTAATACTATAATCAGAAAAAGGCAAGATTCAAAGAGCAGGAGTCCGAGGGAAATTGCTTCATTAAAAAGTGACCGACCCTTGCTCAGATCCCAGACCTGAGCCAGATTTCAGTTTTGGAGCCAACAGTCTGGAGAGGTTCCCATGTCCCTCAGAGGAAGGACCCTACAACATCGTAGCAGGCATATATTATAATGCTTACCTAGTCCCTTCCCAAAGGAACCTATGGCCATTTATTTGGGTGACTGTACACTGGGGAAAGGGGAGTACCCAGATATTTTTAGGACTATTGGACATAACTTTCTGAGTCGACATTAATACCCAGGCACTCAAAGCATCATCTTGGCCCTCCTGTTGGGAGTAGGGACTTATTGGGTCCAGGGAACAAATGGAGTCCTAGCTTAAATCTGACTCACAGTGGCCCATTGCACCTGCAGACCTGCCCAGTGGTCATTTCCCCAGTCTCCAAGTGTATAATTGGAATTCATAAACTTAGCAGTTGGACTAACCTATGCATTGGGCCCTTGGACTGTTTTTAAGAGCTTTCATAGTGGGGAAAACCAAATGGAAATGTCTGCTTCCTCTCTCCCCCACCAACCAAGATGGTAAATTGAAAATAATATTGTGCCCTAGGGGATGATGGAGATTAGTGCCACCATTAAAGACTTAAAGGATATAGGGGATAATGGGTGGTGGTCCTTATGATATTTATGTTTAATTCATCGTTCTGGCCTTTGCAGAAATCAGCCAGATCCTGGAGAATGAGTTTAAGCCATACAAAGTTTTACTTCACAAAAGAGAAATACAGCACCTTGTGGGTCTCTTTGGGATCTGGAGGTAACATATTCCACACCTAGAAATACTTCTCTGGCCTATATATTGAGTGACACAGAAGGCTGCCAGCTTTGAGTGGGGCCTAGGGTAGGAAAGATTTTGTAGCAAGCCCAGACTATAGTGCAAGCAGCTTTGTTGCTTGGACCATATGATCTTGCTGACCCTATGGTGTTGAAGGTGTCAGCGCTGGGAAAAGATGCAGTGTGAGAATCAGGACCCTGGGATTTTGGAGGAAGGCCATAGAGTCTGCAACAGAGAATTATCCTGCTTTTGAGAAGCCACTCCTGGTGAGTAACTGGACTGTTAGGCACCATAAACCTCATTTTGTCATGCTGCTTCAGTCCGTTTACTAAATAACCCACAAAACTGCCAATTTTCAGTGCGGCCCAGAGCGAGAATACATTTTGAAATAGGTCTGGTCTACCGTGCACAGTTTCTTCATATGGTGCTTGAAATGTCTGTGATGTATGGAGCCTGGTGAGTCACAGTACAGTCTGTTAGGATTTTGGAGAAAACCTATTCTTTAGAGAAAAGTTTCTAGCTTGCTATTGACCCTAATTGAGGGTCTTCCCTTTGCCCTTTCTAAGTCTGCCTCATCAAAATTAATAACTATCCTTAATTCTAATACCAGAGAGAAGGAGAATTGAATAGATTAGACGGTATGTTTGTGACACTGGAAAAACAAACAAGGAAAAAAAGGGCAATTAGGAACTCCAGGAAAATAAAAAACTAAGCAAAAAAGTAAATAATCATCAGAAACAATTTGTATTTTCTTATGAACTTCATTTTATGTTTTCTTGTTCGTATTAATCAGTTATTTTAAAGACCATGACTTGTGACTCATATGTCTGAATTACCTGTGGGTCTGCTGCTACTGTCCACTTTTTTCTTAGTTTTGACTCTGGGTGTGCCTAGCAATTTTTGATTACCACTGTGCATGAGAAATTGTAGAAGCTCTAGATGAGCTTTAGTTTCTGACAGGCAATTATAGTAGGGCAGATTACCTTAATTCAGTTAGCTAGTGAGCTAATTCAAGGTGAGGTATCCATCTTTTAAAGATCTGGTCTATATTTACTTCCCACTAATTCCTAGGTAAAAGTCCTTCAGAGGGTCGAACTGAAAGTCTGTGGTATTTACCAGGGCCCATCATCACTGGTGGGATCTGAACTCCAAGTTTGATCCCCTTGGCACATAACTGCTGAAAGCTCTCCTTAGGACCTCAGGCACTTGGCTGCTGTGCATCTCTGAATCTGCCTCGCGCCGTTTACCAATCAGTGAGCTCTTTGTGGGAAAAAGCTCAGTCTATTGGGCTTATTTCTCTTCACTTTTGTCTCCAAGATCTTGCCACTCAAGTCCTACTGTCTTAGCTCAGAGTTCCCTCAGGTCCTAGAAGCCAGCTGCAGTTTTTCGGCACGTGAGCTGTCCTCAAATGGCTGCTTACTTCATCAGGCCAGCAAGGAAAATTTCTCTCCAGTCTGCTAAGATGGAGTCTTATATAATACTAACGTAATCATGGGAGTGACATCCCATCACCTTTGCCATAACCTATTGGCTAGAAGCAAGTCTCGGTTCTGCCCACACTCAAGGGGAGAGGATTACATAGGGAACAAATCATTGGGGTCACCTAGGGTGTGCCTGATACAACTGCTGACAATAGGACAAGGAGAAAAGAGGGAAGATGAGCATTCAGTAACACTCACAAATATCACAGTGAAAAGAGCTTTCTATTTGGTGTCAGAAGTCAGTTTTGTCTCATTACTTCTGGTACTTTTGACCACTTACCATGTCTCTTCTCAACTTAAAATTTGTTAGCTGATAACTTATGTCACACGATTTGATGGTTATAGAGTAAAAACCTATGGAGATGCTTTTATTTTCATCCAAAAAATCACATACAGATATTAAAGTCACAGGATATCCATTCTCAAGATGCAAAATATATACTCAAAATCATAGACAATCACATGGAAAACCAATAGGCAATATGTATACATATGTGAAAATGGGGTCATTTTAACAAAAGAATGATGTCATAAAGACAAAGCTGAATGGACGAAAGGATGGGAAGACAATCAAGTATGCACAAGATTACTTTAAACAATTTATTTTATTGGTAGATTCTGAAGACTACATTCAAAAAGTTTTAAAAATCACCAATAATCCCAATACACAAATGATAATTTGCTTAATAATTTGGTGTATTTCCTTCCTAGCTTTTTGTTCTATGTCTACCTACACACACACACACACACACCTAAAATAGATATATAGTACAAATACATATGTATACATGTATATGTGCATATAATTTTATTCATCACAAAATTGCTATATTTCTACCACCCAGAATCACTGATATAATGGTGCATATCCTTCTTCTATGTATTTTTTTTATAATTTAAATCATGTGGTACATTGTTTTGTAATCTGTTTTTTCACATAACAGATTACCATGAACATTTCCCCAAATTCTCACACATAATAAAGAAAATTTTTAAATGGTCCATATTATTCCAACTTATTGATATTAATTTTTAATCAATTGCCTATTATTGGATATTCAATGTCCTTCTATTTTTTGCAATTTAAATAATATTGCTGTTATGGGAGATACTCTGAAAATTAAAAATATGTTATTGCCTCACCATAAAATGATTACTCTTGCTTAAAAGACAAAGAATATTAAATTGTAAGCACTGTTCCAAAGCAAGGTGTGCCTTTTCTGTAAGGGGTTTGCATTTTTGCACTGAAGATGATGATGATTCATGTGTAAGATCTCCTGTTTGAGCTCGTTTGTTTCAGGGATCCTGATGACTCATCCTCTCTCACTCTAAGCAATTGTTCTCTGTTTAAGAAATAACCTGCGAGTTTGGCCCAGCTAGGATTAATACTTTATGCTTCATACTGTTCTTTCAAAAGCGTCATACTCTACTCCACAGTGAACATATCTTAACTTTATAAGTGAGCGCTTGTTTGCAACCTCTGCACCTTTCCCACACAATGTTTGGTATAGAATTGGAACATGTTTCTCTCATTATTTCTAACTTGGTTTCCTAAACTCATTCTTAGTTTTTCCTCAGCATAAATACTCTGATAGGCAATGACATTTAAATGCTTTCTAAAAGTTTTCTCACTTCAATACACTCACAGTTTTGCCACTTTTGAATTCTTTGATGTACAATTCTCCACTCATAGCTAAGAATTCTGGATGAAAAATTGAGCACATTTATTACAGGCTTCTGGAATTATACTTTTGTGCCTTTTATTAAGTTAAATGAACATTAAATAATATATGGAATTTCTGACATTCTTTATATTTATAAGGTTACTCCCCAGGATGAACTGATATAATGAGATAGAACAAGTAGTGAAATTATCCCATTCTCAAGTATATTCATAGGTTTTATTTCCCGTATGACTTCTCTGATGTTTAATGAGAGTTGACTTCCCACTGAAGGCCTTCCCACAATCCCTGCATTCATAAGGCTTTTCTCCTGTATGAGTTCTGTGATGTACAATGAGAGTTGATTTCACACTGAAGGCTTTCCCACATTCACTACATTTGTACGGTTTTTCTCCTGTATGAATTCTCTGATGTTTAATGAGAGTTGACTTCCTACTGAAGGCTTTCCCGCAGTCACTGCATTCATAAGGTCTCTCTCCTGTATGAATTCTCTGATGTTTAATCAGTGGTGACTTCTCACTGAAGGCTTTTCCACATTCATTGCATTTATAGGGTTTCTCTCCTGTATGAGTTCTCTGATGTACAATAAGGGTTGACTTCTCACCAAAGGCTTTCCCACATCTTCTGCACTCGTAAGGTTTCTCTCCTGTATGAGTTCTATGATGGACAGAGAGGTGTGATTTTCCACTGAAAGTCTTCCCACATATGCTGCATTCATAAGGTTTCTCCCCTGTGTGAATTCTCTGATGAACAGAGAGGTGTGACTTTCCCCTGAAGCTTTTTCCACATTTACTGCACTCATAAGGTTTCTCTTTTATATGAATTCTCTGCTGCTTAATGGCAGTGGGCTTCTCATCAAAGGCTTTCTCATGTTTACTGCATTCAGGTTTCTCACCTGTAGAAGTCTTCTGATGCATAAAGCTGGACTTACCACATTTGATACCCTCATAAAATGCTTGTCTGATATGTGTTTTTTCATGTCTAACAAGGTGATATGAACTCTTAAAGGCTTTTGCACATTCGCCACATACAAATGGTTTCTCTCCTGTGTGAGTTCGCTGATGTTTAATCAGAGTTGACTTCTGGATAAAGGTTTTCCCGCATTCACTGCATTCATAGGGCTTCTCCCCTGTATGAGTTCTCTGGTGTGCAATGAGGGTTGACTTCTGACTGAAGGCTTTTGCACATTCACAGCATTCATAAGGTTTCTCTCCTGTGTGAGTTCTCTGATGTACAACGAGGTTAGCTTTCTGGATAAACACTTTTCCACATTCAGAACATTCATAGAGTTTCTCCCCAGTTTGAATTCTCCGACTTTTATTAAGGCTTTGCTTATGGTGGAGGGCTTTTCCACGTTGATTAGGCTCAAAGAAGGTCTCTCCAGGTTGAGCTTTATCAAGATTAGAATGGAAGCATAATTTCCAATAGGCCTTACATTCATCATCTTTCTTTCTTACGTAGCTTCTGTTTTGACTAAGAAAGTTTAAATTATGTTTTGAACTCCTTCCCCATGAATAATATTTAGGGAGTCGTTGTCTTATAGAAACAAAGTCTGGGCTCGGATAAATGATTTTTCTGCATGTTCTAAATTCTTGGCCATGTTCATCCTTCACTGTTTCCTTGTGTATGAATGCAGTTTGCCACAGAGGCTTGTCTTGGCTTTCCTTGTGGTTATGTATCTGGTCATCAACTTGCCAGAATTCTAGGGGAAAAAAGGCAATGAATCATCAACCTTGTAAATATTTCTCCTATGATGTTATGGGATAAAATTAATTCACAAATGCCCTACTGTGAACTCCTATCAATAGGACTTGAGCTTATGTGGATGGATTATCTCCATGCCTCCCCCTCCTGTGAGTGCAAATACAAAGACATGGTGGCCCATATTTAACAAAAATAATTTAATACAGTCAAGTTCAAAACCAAGAAAAGAAATTTATTAGGTGTCAAAAGTGAAGTGGGAATTTAAAGTGATGGGGTGAACAGAAACTGAAGCTCGATGATTTGCAGCGGAATCCAGACCACAGGGCACAAATGTTCAGAAAACTGGAATGTAATTTCCACTTAAAGTTGGAATTACAAGCGGCTTCCATGCTTGTTAAAGAAGAGCTTTAGAAAGACTTCCCACTGGTCAAGGAAATTGGAAAGAAAGATATTATACAGAAGAGATCAAAAGCCTAGTTCTGAATCTCAAGCCACATGATATAAGTATCATACAGAGCCCACGTGCAGAAAAATTAACATAAAAATTGGTCCTGTTATTAGTAGGTTCCTAGCAGTGGCAAACTTTCCAGAAGACATATTCTTATGTTTTTATAGCTTAGGGCTCATAGAATTTCTATGGAAAACCAGCTCTCACTAAAGAGTTCACAGGAAAAAAATAAAAACCTCACAAGAAAATGAACCATCATGAGAGAGAATTAGCAGATACATTTAAAGATACTCCCATTCCTAGAACTGTAGCTAATAGAACAATCTGGACTCTAAAATAAATATATTTCCAATACTCAAAGAAATAGGGTAAGCACTAGACTGTGGGAGGAAAAAAACCCAGGAAAATCTGAAAAAAGAAACAAATATAAATATAAAAGAATATATACCCATTATTTTTTTAAAAAACTCTAAATAGAGAGGCTGAACAGTAGACTAGTCACAGATAAAGACAGATTTAATGAATTAGATGACAGATCTTGGGAAATCACCCAGAAGGTGGCAAGTATAAAGAGCTAACAAAATGGAAATAGGGTAAGAGAAATAGAGAAATGATAAGTTCCAACATAGGTTTAATAGGAAATCCAAATGGAAAGAACAGAGAAAAAGGGAGAGGAGCAATATGCCAGGAAAAGGTTAAAAGAGCAACCCCGAAACTGCTATCCTTAGAAAGGCCAGCTTGCAAGTCTGGCCCTTGGCTGACATCTGGGAATTTGGAGTTCAGAAATGTCCTCACCATTCCCTAAGTGATAAGGTTGCTTGTACAAACAATGTGATTTATATGGAACATTTCCTTTCCTTCCGGGAGCCTGGAATTTTGGTATGTGCCAGGCAGAGTTTGTGTATATGGCCAGCCTCCAATAAAAACTGAGGGCACTGAGTCTCTAATGGGCTTCCCTGGGCATAAACATCATACATGTATTGCTGGATTTTCACTGCTAGGAGAAGTGTGCCCTGTGTGACCCTAGTTGAGAGGGAAAGAGAATACGAAATCCTGTATGTGGATTCCTCCAGACTCTGCTAGTGTCTTTTTCCCTTATGATCCAGCTGTATATCCTTACTACATCACTGTAATAAATTGTAGCTATAACTACAACTATATGCCAAGTCCCGTGAGTCCTTCTTGAGAATCTCTGAATGTGGTGGTGGTCTTGGGGACCCCAAATCTAGGCAATATTTGACAGTGACTGGTAGTTTTCTAGAATGGAAGAAATTCATGCATCCTACCATTGTATGCCAAGAGTCCTGAGTGTGGTAAAGAAAAGCAAATCTGTACTTAAGACACAGTTCAGTGCAGCAACCACAAGACTTTAAAGTCAGAAAGTAAGTATTAAAACCTACTGTGGAGAAATTTTTAAAAATCACCTATAAAGAAACAATTAGATTAACATCAGACTTCATCAGCAAAAAAAAGAAGCCAAAGATTAAAGAATATTTTCAAAGTCTTGGGAGAAGCTGTCATCTTAGAACTCTATCCCCAGCTAAGTTGTGATAAAGAACGATAACAAAACAAAGACGTTTTTGGACAAGAAAAGACAGAGAATTTGCTACACACAAAGCCTGGTTAAGCATAATGCTTGGTACTTGAATTTTTCAGGTGGAAAATAACCAAAGGAGAAAAAGGTGGGGGTGAGAGTAAAGAAATGTAGCAAAGGCAGGAAAAAAGAAGTAAAGAAAAAACAATATATAGAAAATACAACAAAAGAAGAAATACTAATATAGTCACAGCACAATAAATATATATTTATCCTATTAATTAATGGCCAGCCATATTAAATTGCATTTAAAAAATCAGCTCTATGTTTTCAAGAGACAATTAGAGAAAAAAGAAATATTGAAAATAAAATTATGGAAAGAGACATATCTGGCACTTAATAATCAAAAGAAAATTAGTAAAACAATGCTTATATTATACAAAACAGAATAAACGATGCCAAAAGCAAATAAGGACAGAATATGAGAATATTATAAAGCGATTTCAGTTACACAGATACAAAACTCCTAAACATACAAGGCAAATTGATTTCATTTATGAGGGAAAAGGTTATACATCTAGCAATGTTGAAAATGTACACACCCTGCTACGTATTCCATGCAGTTATACCATAGAGAAATTCTGCAAATGGGAACCAGGAACATGCCCAAGAATGGCAACAAATTTGAGAAACAACCAAATGCCCACCAATAGGCTATGGATTAACAGACTGTGATACTCAGATGTTGGAATGCTATACAGGAGTTAAAATGAATAAACTAAATCTAACCTATCAGCATAGGTAAAGTTCAAAGGGCAACACTGAATACAAAAAGGCAAGTTGTAGAAAGACTCCTTTAGTTTAAGAGCACTAATCTGGTAAATTTACTTAATGAATGCTATATTGATTACAGATACAAATATGTGTAGTAAAAGTATAAAAACATGGATTAGAAGGATACTCACCAAATTCTTGATATTGTTTGCCTGGGGAGGTAATGAGGGGAGGAGGACTCAGGAGGGGGAAGAGGAGCTTCAATTTTATTTGTAAACCTCCATTTCTTTTATTTAAAAAAAAACCACTACAAATGGCAAAATGTTAACATTTGCTAATTCTGGGAGGTAAGTACAAGGCTATTTGTTATAATGATTATTTTCTGTACTTGCTGCAGTTTTAAGAGAAATGCTTTAAGGCAGGACTTCTGGAACGATGGAGGGAGGATCCTGGTAAATCCTCTCCCCCATAAAAGCAATGAAAATACTGGCAAAATTATCAAAATCCATCATTTCAGGACTTTGGAAATTAACCAAAAGCATATAACAAATTAAGAAGCATTTATTCAAGAACCAGTGAACCTCAGTAAGAACAACCAAGTCTGTGGTATTGGGGGCTACTCAACCCCCCTACCCCAAACCCCTGGCTCCCCAACTCCATGGTCTGGGAGCAGTGAAAACTGGCAGCCTCACAGCAACCCGAGGGGGCTCCACCAAAAGCCCCATCCCCAGAGGGCTGTCACGATTTGACCTGACTTGGAGCTCAGCTCCAAGAAAAAAGGGACGCTAGATGGTAACTCCAATCCACGGGAAGAAATAAAGAGCCCCGGTAAAGGTGAGGGGTAGGACAGTGCTAACAGCAGGCCTGGCTCCTGGCTGAAGTCTGGGAACTCGGCTTTGGAAAGTGCCCTCTGTTGATAAGACTCTTACTTGCCAGGGGCACTGAACCCATTTTTCTTCTGGGAGTCTAACACCTGACCATTAGAGGCTGATGAGTTTCTGGCCTGATGTGCCTACTTTTAGTGGGTTAATTTGGAATCTCCCACACACAAAGTGAAAGGCGATTTTTAAAAGCCTTGCTTGCCACTTGGGCTTGAATTGCAGCTGCCTAGCCTTGCAGCGTCTTGGCTTTGTATGAGAAAGGAGCAACTACCCCTGCAGGGATTTATCTTCTACCAAATGCCCGCACTACTGGTGAAAATGATCCCTTATGAAGGCATAGAGAGAAACGTCAGAGAGTATGAGATAAAGGGAAAAAATCCTATAAGCTACGGACAGAAAAAAGTTGATACCAAGTATCAATATTCAGAATAGATTCAGAGTTCTCAAAAGGAACACTGAAAATTAGAAGATGATGGAGCAATGCCTTCAAAAGTCTATCTTAGAACTCTACCCCAAGCGCAACTCTCCATCTAGGAGGAGGATATAACACTCTTAGATACTGAAAAATCTCAAAAAACTTGCCTCCCATGGACCTACATTCTTTCTTAAATACTGGAAGAATGTGCTCCAATGAAATGTGGAAGAAGGCATGGCAGAAAGCAAATGGGGAACCCAACAATGCAGAAAGTGGAGGGAATCTCCAGAATGATGGCGAAGAGAGATGTCAGAATGGCGACTGCACACGCAGGAATGAGAATAATCCACCCAGAAGGGAGCGGGTCAGATGGCTCCAGACAAACTTAGGGGTATGACGTTGACGGAACACTTGATAGCTCTGGAAGGACTCAGAGTCACTCCAGACAACTGGTCATGGAGTGTGTAAGCTGAACTGGTGATAAGTACAGAGAAGAAGCAGCAAATGAAAGAAAGAAGACAATTTTCAACCAAAGGAAACAAAAGGTTATGCAGGAAAGGTAAATTAATCATAAATTACTACACGGCTCAGCTGTGCATAGTGGTTATATAGTCATTATGTTGTAAACAACAGTACCAATATTGGGAACACGAGGGAACAAGACGTCTTCCTGTGTGTGTGTGTGTGTGTGTGTGTGTATGAGTGAGCAGCAGAAGCAATGAAGTGAGCTAAATCTTAATCTTCCACAACAGAAAATTCTAAAGAATTTTTATAAGATATATGTAAATTACAAAGAATACTGATACCAAGAAATATCTGCATATCCACCACTCACTAAAAAACAAATTATTGTTACCGTTGAAGTTCTTCATGTGCCCATTTCACTCTTTCTTCTCAGATAATCACAATCCTGAATTTTATGTTTATCATGCCCTTGACTTTCTTC